TTTATATAAAACTCTCTCTTATACATGAGTTTCTGTGGATATGTTTCTTTAAAGCACCCAGACTAACACACAGAGTAACTTGTGAAGGGCTTGTGTCTTATTGGTGAGGGCATCCCTGGCTGGCCCTGCACTTGGCTTTGAGGCAAGGGAACAAGGAGAGAAGAGCAGGGAGGGGAGGAACCCAGAGCACCAGAAGGGACACGTTCCACTTCTGGAAGATTTGCAACAAGTAAAGGAAACCTGTTACTACCAGTATCAGGAATCCAAAGGCAAAGATTTTCTCTTCTGTGCTCCTGTGCATTCGGGACAAGTCATTGTGGCTACAAGGAAGTTGAGCTGTGAGGGGAATGTTGGTACATGCACATAAGCGTGAGGGCACATCAAACAGTGTGTGAAAAAACAATTCATCCTCTCTTACTTCCATTTCCCCAGGAGGTTTTGGAAGCCCCAGATATGTATATAACCTGCCTGTGTGCATATATCTACACATGTAAGATACAAAGCAAAGATGTCTTCAAGCCTTGTGCTTCATGTTCTTTTATTTTATCTCTACCTCCAATGGAGAGGCTGGAAAATGATAGCCCGCGGGCCAAATCCAGTATTTTCCTATTTGTCTTTCGTGTAAGTCAGCCAGCCCAGCCTCACATCTGCTATCTCTAAGTGCTCTCATGCACCAACGGCACACGTGAGACCTGCAGTGCAGACCCCAAACCAGACGACACTGCTCATCTGACCTTTACTGAAAAGTCTTGCAACCCTTGCTGTAATCCTTTACTAATGTGTTAATCCATGAATTTTAGCTGCTTCAGTTTCTGGTTGGTTCTGAGCGCTGCGGTGTGAAGGATAGTTATTTTGGTATACCACACAGAAAGGCGCTCTGGTGGTGCAGTGGATTAAGTGTTGCTAAGCTAAAGGTGGGCTGTGTGAATCCACCATGGGAGGAAGATGATGTAGTCTGTTTCTGGAAAGACTACAGTCTCTGAAGTGGTTCCACTAAGGAGCAGTTCTAGTAAGCCCAATGGGTCCCAATGAGTTATAACAGACTCAACAGCAGTGGATCACTTGTATGTGTGTTGGGGGGCGGGCAGCGGTGTGTGTCACAGGACCAACTCAAGAGCGCTGGGGCAGTGGTGGCATGTTCATATGTGAACTGAAGGGTCAGCATTTCGAAACCTTCAAGCACATGGGAGTAGAAAGATGTGGCAGCTGCTTTGGCAAAGATGACAGCCTTCGAGACCCGACAGGGCAGCTGGACTCTGCCCCAGAGGTCACGCACTGGAGTCGAATTGATGTGGTGGCAGAGTACAGAACCCACTGCCAATTACGTCCATGATGTAACCGAAGACCTGTAGTTTTAGTGGTAGCAGGTATTTAGGGTGAAGATATCTCTGGAAGAGTCTAGAATGCTTATAAAGGAGGATTGAAAAACAAAACAAAAAACCCAGAACAAAAAATCATATCAATGTGAATGGTGGGGGGTAGGGGCGTGAAGTGGAGACCCAAAGCCCATCTGTAGACAACTCTTCCAGAAGAGTCACAAGGAAGAGACGAGCCAGGCAGGGTGCAGCATAGCGCTGATGAAACACACAACTTTCCTCTAGTTCTTATTGCTTCCTCCCCGCCTCCCCCAGTACCATGACCCCAATTCTACCTTACAAATCTGGCTAGAAAAGACCATGTACACTGGTACAGATAAAAACTAGAAATGTAGCGATACCAAGAGGGGAAGGGGAAGGTGGGGGGAAAAGGGAGAACTGATCACAATGATCTACATATAACCCCCTCCGTGGAGGATGAACAACAGAAAAGTGGGCAAAGGGAGACAGCAGTGGGTGTAAGATATGATAAAAAACTTTTAAAATAAATTATCAAGGATTCCTGAGGGAGGGAGGGTGAAGGAGGGGGGATGAGGAGCTGATACCAAGAGCTCAAGTAGAAAGAAGAATGTTTTGAAAATGATGACGGCAACATATGTGCAAATGTGTTTGACACGTTGGATGTACGTATGGATTATGATAAGAGCTGTAAGAGCCCCCAATAAAGTGATTTATAAAAAATTTAAAAAGGAAAGTAAATGTCTAGAAAATAATGATGGCAATATATGTACAAATATGCCTGATGCAATTAATATTTGGATTGTTGCAAGAACCTCCAATAAAATGATCTTTAAATTAAAAATAAAACAAAACAAAGCCATCCCACTGAGGGGGGTCTTTTAGCAGATGCTAAAAACAAACAAGCAATAAACACGCACGCACGCACGCGCGCATGCACGCACGCGCGCGCGCGCGCGCGCGCGCGCGCGCGCGCGCGGAGCCCTGGGGGCGGAGCGGACTGTTAACCATGAGATCAGCAGTTCCAAACTCAGTGTTCCAGTTCTAAAAGATAATGGGCCTCGAGACCCACGGGGACAGCGCCCCCCTGTCCTGACTGAGTCAGAACTAAGTGGACAGCAGTGAGTGTGGCTTGATACATCGACACCCCAAACATCACAATCACTTGGAAACAAAAAGCCTGCGTAACTGCGGTTAGAACATGTGTAAAGAGCTTCAACCCGCTGTCCCGAGCCTGAGGCAAACACACACAGACACAGGGAAGGCAGACTGGTGTCCTTCTTTACCTGCGGCCGCACAGCCTGTGAACTGTTCCCCGATAGTGGCTAACAACAACTCTTTCCAAACTGTGGGCTGGTAAGAGAAGAGGGTAAACAACAAAACAACACATGCATATGTTAGGACAATTATCTCCAGGAGCTAAATCAGTCTGTCTTTCTTCAACAAAGCATGCATTTCCATGCCCATATCTGAAGCCTGCAGACAGCTTCGTATCCCAGAGGCAAGCAGCACTTACAATAATAAGATATATCTTATTAGTTACAAATTACTTCACAGAGGCTAATGGGAAAGATGGAAGTGCGTCATAATGGAATTTCCCCATGAACTTTCTTAAAGCGCTCCCCCCACTCCACACCCAGCCCCAACACACAAGTGATCCCAAGTCTTGAGCACACTGTTATCTAGTGAAACCCCCGATGCAGTGCAGACAAACTGGGGAAAATACCTTCAAACGTTTTATCATTTCCCAACTTCCTTACCTCTCACTGATTCAAGAAGTAACAACTGATAATATTGGAATGAAATATTAAAACCATTCTCTTCAAAACCTTTACCCACTCTTCTTCCCTCCTCCTTTCTTGGCTTACAATGTGGTCCAAAGGTTACGCAAGTAACGAAAATGAAGGACGTTTCTGGAGTATGTGGGGCTTGTCAAGTTGCATTCCTTTATGGAACATGGTTGGTACTGACATAACCTTGTGTGTGTGCATGTGCACGTTCCCCTGGACGCAAGGGTGCATGCTCTGCACTTCCTCCTACCACGGAGGAAAAACTGGGGTTGCCCTAAATAAGACCTACAAATGCCATCCTATAAGCTGCAGCATCCACTCACAGGGTATTGGACTACATGTTTCCCTCTGACAAGTTCCGACGTAGGTTCCTCATACCAGCTCCCAGGCCGGGTTAGAATCCTGGGTATTGTCTGGGTATTTTCCGGGACCGCGGCTAGGTCATCAGCCTTTCTGGGCATCAGCTTCCATGAGTGACCAGAGGATTAATAGCAGCTGCCCTCCCTGGGTTGTGGTGACCATGCCAGGAATCACTGAGTGCATCCGCACGGCTGAGCACAGCATGCCTCTCTGTGTAACAAAGAGGTTCCCCACGATTCCAGACCCATTCCATCAATACTGGAAGGTTTACTCCCAGTCAAGTCCTCAAAGCAGGTTCATCTGAACACTCGTGTTTAGTATTATGTCCTAAAGAACTTCAAGTAGCCTCGCTGCATTAACCCAGGCAATGGCATTTGGTCAGGGAGCAGGCAAGTGGCCGTTCACCCTCTGGGTGGCTGGCCCTCGATCTTGCCTGGAGCCCCACTTCGGGTCTACACATCTGGCATTCAGAAACTGTTCCTTCTGCTTTTCCATCCGGCCCAGTGACTTGTGGGACATGGTGAGTGCAGAGGGGAGGTTGGAGAGGAGAGGAGTGGAGGGGAGTGCCCACCCTCCTATCTGAGTCCCACTCAACTCCTATTAAGAGAGGGCCCAACTGCTTGGCAGAGGGCACTTGTGCAGACATAAGTGTCGCTCTGTGAGTGTGCCCAAGGGGACTAAAAGGAGACAGAACAGACCTGCCTTGCAGCCTCTTCCCCATTGCTATTGGCACCATGATCATTGCTCCTGGGACCCTGAGTCCAGTGTGAAGGGACAACACCTGTTCTTACCGAAACGGAAAACAAAGCTCAGCCTCTTCTCTTTGGAGGGTAAAGGGGTCTTCCAGTGCCTCGCCTGGTTTGCCGTCTACTTCCCTGGCGTTTCTATTGCACCAGCCAAAGAACAGTCAGACTGGGAATGACCCATCTGGACTCACGGCCTGCCCCTTTAACAGCGGACTCTGGCCGGGGAGTGGGGATGGATGTGCTCCTCGGGGAGGCCTGCGGCTCCAGTACGTGGGTCTCCTGAGACACTTCAGTTCTCTGCACTCACCCACATCAAAGAAACCATGAAAAGGTGAGGCAGGGTACTATGTGCCCTTTTACCCACTTTCAAAGAAGCCTTTGGTTTCCCAGGGCTCAAGAGAACAGATTTGACGGGTGTTAATGTTTGTTTCAGTCCAGGTGATGAATTAGAACCCAAATGGATATGCCACAGATGAAAACACCCTCCAGAGAAATGGCAATTTCTGAGGCTGGGGGTGGGGGCGGGGGCGGGGCGGGGCACAGCTTCTCATGGACACCCTGAAAAATGGTGAGATGCCAAGGCTCCCTGGCAGTGGACTGGTCACTCAGAGGTTGGCGGTTCAAACCTACCAGCAGCTCCTGGAGAGAAAGGTGAAGTTGACTATTCTCCTCGTAAAGGCTGACAGCCCTGAAATCCCTCTAGAGCAGTCTGCTCTGTCTTCGAGTGTCACTACGAGTCAGCATCGAGTCAACAACAGTGGGCTCGGGCTTTGTGGGAGAAGGGGGGGGGGGCTTTAGGTGGGAAGAGTCCTGCTTCGTCTGGTGTAAAACCAGCTTCCACACCGTTAGTTACAGCTGGTGAGGAAACGGCCACCATAGGATAATCAGCTTTTTGGTGAGGTTTACTGGCTTTTAACTCTCAAAGACCACATCATACAGCCACAGGCTCACAGATTTTTATAGAGAAACACGTGACATGCTTGCAAGGAGACCTGAAGGGCAGAAAATCACTAAAGTCAGGCTTGAATTTCTCACCGACCATCCTGTGACTTAGTACCACCAGGCGGGCTGCCGGGGAAACAACAAGATGTTCACCACCTGCAGGCCAGCCTCTCCCACCTGGGCCAGTCCTAACGGGGTGGAGCCAACGTACCGTGCTGTCCTTGGGCACTTTCATTTTCCACACGCCTCCCTGCGCATTACTCTCCTCTTCCCTGCATCGAAGGCAAATGTTTATAAAGTTACAGTCACGAGATAAGCAGCTCCCCATCAAGACCAAGTACTTTTCATACATTTAGTGGGATCACAGTTTTAAACGACCTTAAAAACAAAATGTTTGAGCATTCTTCTTTAAGCATTGTGCTCGTTTGTCCCTTAGCAGCAGATGCCAATGGTAGACAAAAAGACGGGGTGGGACGGGGAGTTAAAAATGGAACGGGGTAGCTATGAAGGCAGGGAGGTGAGGGCACAAAAGACCCTCACCTTCAAGGATGGGGTGCTGGGGCACTCCCTGGTTCATCTAGGGTTGGGAGGATTAATATATGTGGATACACGACATACTCATGACAGGGGATGTGTTCATGGCGGTGCCTTGCTCGATTCTCCACACAACACAAGGTGACTGGTGACTGTCCCCGGAGTGGACATGGCCTGTGTATTTAGGGTCTGACCTTCCTACTTTCATGGGGCACCCAAAAGCCCTTTAGAGAACTCACTCCCTGTCGCCTATCCCTTGGTCAGAACAATTCAGGTAGAGTCGATCCCATATCCTGGCCTCAAGGATGGGTCTGTGACGTCAGTTTGCTTGGGACAGTGGTTCTCAGCCTTCCTAATGCCGCCACCCTTTAATACAGTTCCGCATGCAGTGGTGACCCCACAACCATAAAATTTTCATTGCTACTTCATCATTGTAATTTTGCTACTGTTATGAATTGGGTGACCCCAGTGAAAGGGCTGTTCGACCCCCAAAGGGGTGTCGGCCCACAGGTTGAGAACCACTGTCCTAGGAGAATCCTGCCTTTCTTCATCAGTGATTGGCCAGGGATAGAGAAGTTCTGGGAGCTGATGAAAGCTACCTCTGCTGAACTTGTAGGGCGACAGAGCTTATGAGGCCCTCATGACACCCCACATGGGACAGCCTTCCTGAACATGATGCCAGATGCAGAGAGCGCAAAGCACTTCTGACGAAGAGCACCGGATTCTGATGACAGGCGAGCACCCAGATTTAAAGCCGTCAGAAACCGGACCTAACAGTGGGCTTCCTCGTTAGGCTTCCTCCAGGGCAAACCCCACAGAACCAAAATTCTGTCTTTTGCTTAAATTAGGTTTCTGCCATTTGCTAGCCAATGAGGTCAAATGCACTCATGTTTTATCAATGAGTAAATAACTCAGAAAGCTTGAAGAAAGTAGTATAAAAGCCCATTACTAATCGGGACGCCTGCCTGGGCTCCCTGGCTCCCTGTTCACACCTCTTACCATCACTCCCAGGCATGACCATGGAGAGGACGGAGAGGCAGCTTCACTTGCCCTGGCCCGGGATTGTGGGGCAGGTCTGCGGTGGTAGGAGCTTTGGCACCACACGTGTCTCCCTCACCTTCCCACCAGTCTGAAAGCTTCCACATGCCAGCGGCCGGCTATTAATGAACAAGCTCGGCACCACGGCCGACCCAAAGGACCCGGGGGTACCTGCAGTGTGCTACCCACAGCCTCTTCATGGTGAGACTGAAATGGGGGCTCAGTGGGTGAACTCTGAGAAGCCCACCGCTCATCCTGAGGGGGCTGGTGAGCAAGGGTTTATTCAATAATTAAGTAATAGCTGGAATCACTTCCCAATAGCACTGGGAGACAATTACTTTGGCATTCCAATTTGGCATAAAGTAAATATTTTATGAGATTCATAACCATTTCCCTCCCACCTTCACCTCAAACTGCACATTAGACACTTACCAAAGCGGCCGCCTCTCTCCTCTCATTAAATGATAGCTACATCTCAAAGGTAGGCTAGTCACAGGAGGGATATTATTGAACACACTCCAGAATATCTTTAAAAGAAAAACACTTTGTTTAATACACCAGTATTGATTTAATGTGCCGCTAGATGACAAAATTAATGCATTAAAGGAAAAAATTAGATTCTCATTAAGTCCCATCCATCCAAAATAGATTTTTCTCAGTAGTCCCTCTAATTTTCTCCCAGAAAATGCAGCACAATGTTAAAGAGCAGTCCCTGCTGAGGTTGAGGCAAGTGCTACATTTCAGGAACTATGGTTATTGAGCAAACATCCCTATGCAATGTGTCTGCACATAAAGCTGTGAAAAGATCTTGCTAAAGATTTTTCTGACAGGTAGATGGAATCTAATAAAGTCTGTGGTGCAATATATGTACTAAACCGTGTTTCCTTGTAACACCGGTTCTCTCCTCTCTAAGTTGAGTCAGACTCTTACACTTTGAACTGAGGTGAGGGCACCGCGGAGGCAGAGGGACCACCGCCCTCTGCCCATCCCTTCCTAGGAGGAGCAGGGAACAGTTGCCTTGCTCAAGACTCAGGGTGACAGATTACCCAGAGAGAGGAGAGTAATAGTAAAGTGCTGATGGTAACTGTTGCTTAGGGAGACTGTACTATGGTCCAGACTTTGTTCAATACACTACAGACACAGCATTCGTTCTGGGTGCCAGTATGTCTTAGGTGTCCCAACACAGAAATTTCTTCCCTGGCTTTTTGAACGTTGACGGGGGTTTTCTCCCTCTTATGCATAATTTGTATTTTTGCCTTGATAGTAATGGGATCTTATCCTTACTACCTTAGTGCTATTTGTCTTGTACTGTTTTCTGTTGGGTGTCCCAGCTGTGAAGCACGGGAGGAGTGGATGTTTGATGGTAACTGATACAAGGTGTTGTAGGGAGTGCAGGGGTGGGGGATAGGTGACAGCGAGGGAAGAGGGATTTCAGGAGTGAACAGTTAGGGCGGGAGGGGAGGGAGAACTAGACCGGACAGTGATTGCACCGCTCAGTTGATAGTGACGTGATTGAACAATTGAACTGTTCAATTGTATGGTATGTGAACTATGTGCCAATAAAACTGTTGGGAAAAATAAAAGAATATAGGAACAACAAGAACAACAAGAAAGAGATAATGGAATATTTCTAAAAGCACAAAAACCAACTAGCGACTTAGCATGTCAGTCTTGGTAGGAGATGTAATTGTTTTCCTCAGTTTCGGAAGTAAGGACACCAAGGCACAGAGATGATGGAGGGGCTTCAAAACAGTTCATGGGGAAATTTCTTTTAATTCCCTATTTTTCCATAAACGTTTTGAAGGCCTCATATTCAGTCCAAGCCTCTCCATTTGGTAGGATTGTCAAGATAGGATTCAGTACAAAGGTTAAACCCTTCCCAGTTTATTTGAAATATGCCTGAGTGGAATTACTGGGTGGAAGCAAATAAAGAAAAAGCCCTTTGCTGGGCTGAAGTAGATACAGACCTCCTGCCGGGGGCTTGCCTGGGCCTCTGAGTAGATGGGACGCACACAGAGCACGGATAAAAAAGTAAGAAAACCAGGCATCATGAGTTGAGCAGAAGGAATGGCATGGGATTTTCCTGTGTTGACTGAAAACACCAGCAGGGTGTCTGATCCTGTTTCCTGTACAATTAATTGCAAGGGTGGCCACAGGGAGCTGTAAAACGGGAGCCCAAACACCACACTATGGTGGGTTTATACACCAAGAGTCCATTCTCCTCGAGGGGTGCTAATGCAGGGATTGGTATCGCTGAATCCGGATGGGCAGCAACAGCAGCTCCTCCCACTGTGATCTCTCATCATGAAGGGCATTTCTTCCAAGTCCTTGACCGCTAATGCCAATAATAAGATGATTCTAGCATTTCAGTTTCTGTCCAAGCTATGAGAGCAAATCAGTAGAGGCAAGATTTAAACCTAGCTAACTTGAATCCCAAACCCATGTTTTAACCACTAATGCTACTCCCTTTAAAGATAAGGGGGAGGCAGGGTTCAAAAGTCACTGGGAAATCTCCATTATCTTTCCATCCCCTTTTTCCCACGGACTTTTGGAAATCCCTTGGTATTGCTGTTTCGGGCACTTCTTTCTCCAGCCTTGGGGGCCACGGGGAGAAGGACACTTGTTGGCGATGTTTGCCCACAGGTGGGAGCCCTTTACTGCTTTGGCTTCAGCCTAGCGCCCCACTTGCCTATGACAATGAGCTTTTGTAGAATCTGTGGGCAAAATGAGGCTACCACGTACCCTGCCTTAGGTAAAACCCAAAAGACCTTGATGCAAACCAACTTCAAATCTAAGACCCAACTCCCATTGAGCTGATTCTGACTAACGTCAACCCCAGGTGTGTCAGAAAAGAAGTGTGCTCCAAAGCGTTCTCAGTGTCAGGCCTTCCTTCCAAGAAGGATTAGACTCAGACCTCCAACTTCTCTGTCAGCAGTTGAGGAGTTAACCCTTTACACCACACAGGGAGTCCAAATCTCGGAGGTGTCCCAACTCAGAGGGAGAGACTTCCCACTGCTGCCAATGTTCTCCAATCCAAGCTGCCCCCACGCAACGCAACGCTTCTCCTGTCTCCAAGGTAAGAAAAGCAGGAATAGGGATTGTGCAGAGGCCGATAGCTCTAGAAGCTATTCTTGAGAACAAAAAAGAGACAACTGAGTTTGCTAGTGTTGGCACGCCAGACAGGAAGAGGACACAGAGAGAGTCTTCACTCTGACTTAACATACTTACTGAAAAGTGCAGGTTGGAATGTTTGTGCATGAACACAAAAGAGGGCACCTGGTGACATCACTAACAAGAGTCCTGTTTTAAAAGCACTTGGCAGAAAACTGCTGTGTCCTTACTGTAAGCCTTGTCCACTGGGTGGGTTCTTTGCTAAGTATGTGTGACGGTAAAATAGCTAGAAGTAAAGACTCCCTGCCACGGAGCCCAGGCTGACTCACGGCTGCTCTATAGGGCAGGGGCACTGCCCCTGTGGCTTTCCAAGACTAACTCTTTACAGGAGGAGAAAGCCCCACTTTCTCCCAAAGAGGGGCTGGTGGCTACAAACTGTTGACCTTCCGGTTAGCAGCCCAACTCGTAACCACTCTGCCACAATAGGGAGTAGCAGGAATTTCCAATTCCTTAGGATTTCTTATTCCCATGCAGAGCTGAAAAGGCCTTATGCCAGGGTCTTGGTATTTCAAGATTATACTTTATGATTCTCTGCAGCACATTTAAGGAAAGAAAAAAAATGGGGATGCCAAAAGTTTACTATTGAGATCTGCAAAAGATATCAAAAGGCTTTAGGCTTATAATTAATTTTATTTAGCCTGAAAATAGGAGATTGCAATTTTACATGGTAAGATTGTAGTAGATTGGAGGTTACAGTAAGCACAACGTTTACTAGAGACAGTTAAGTACTTACTGCAAGCCCAAGGTCAAAGAGAGGTGTAAGAGTTGGGCATAATGCATGCAGTCCAGTTTGAGAACACTGGTTTTGCACAGAGCACCATGACAAGGCCGTGAGGGGAGGTGAGCGGAATCCAGGCACAGTGGTCTGTGCCCACGTGCAGCCCACCCCTCAGAGGGTAAGTTCTCAGCCATCCTGTGGCACTCCTCCTGAAGGAGCAGGGACAGAGGAGATAGTCTTCCAATGGAATCGAAGACCTGGACTAGAAACCTGTTTTTCAAATAAACTTCACAAACCACTGAGCCCGCAACACCTCAGTCTCCTCCTCTGCATAATGGGTATGACATACCTGTGAAATTGGGTAGTTGTAGGAGGAAATTTGGTGTAAGCGCATTTTGTGGTTTTGTTTATTTTGCTTCCCTCTCCCCCCAAGGAAGTAAGGAATTAATAGGTTCCAGGAGTCCCAGTGGTGTGGGGGGTTACTCATTCAGCTGTTAACCTCAAGGCTGGCAGTTCAAAACCACCAGCCACTATACAAGAGTGAGGCTTTCTGTTCCTGTGAAGAGTTAGTCTCAGAAACCCACGGGGACAGTTCTACCCTGTCCTCTAGGGCCGCTGTGTGTTACACAGCAGTGAGTTTGTTTGTTTGGACAATGCTAACCCTTTATTAAATTCCTAACCTATTAATTCTAACTGGAGCAAATAAACACTTGACATGCTTATGATAAATGAGTAAGTCTTCACTATGTGCATTCAATGTGATTTATGATAGGTATGAATTCATTCATTGTTGTATTTTGTTCCACTTTTTTGTTGCTTCTTTGCTAATTTTCGGCGCTGAGTTCTTTATGCATACAGATTTTCCTTTCTTATAAATCCTTGTTGTTTTGGGGGTTCAATGGATCTTTTAAATTTTTGGAGTACATTATTTTATTCTGTTTACCCTGAAGTATAATTTTTTATTCACTTACATTTAATATAAATCAGTCTGTTATATTGTCTTGCTATCACCTTGACTTCCTCTCTCAGTGGAAACTCTATAATTATACCTTGCATCCCCACCCCTCTTTTTATTTTGAAGTTGCTGCTGCTTACAGCTCACCCTCTCTCGTTCCTGATGTCAGATTTGCAGCTTTGTATCACTGTAGTGAGACTTTTATCTGAGATGATATTTGAGTGATGCTGTCATCTCAGGCTGTTGTCTGATGATGTTGGTTCTCCATCCAAAGGGCTCTCTTTAATATTTCTTTTTTTACATATGAAGATCTTTTATTTTATTTTATTTATTTATTTTTAAAATCATTTTATTATTATTTCCTCTAAGAAATAGAGGAAAGAACTAGGAGGCAAAGGGCACTTATAAAGGTCTAAATACAGGCATGTACATATGTAAATATATGTATATATAATGATAGGGAAATAGTTCTATGTACATATTTTTATAAGTTTAGTATTAAAGTAGCAAATGGACATTGGGCCTCTATTCAAGTACTCCCTTGACCCAAGAACACTTTGTTCTAATAACCAGGCATTCCGTGATGCTCACCTTCCCAATACCATTGCTGAAGACAAAATGGGTGCTTAAGCAAATGTGGTGAAGAAAGCTGATGGTCCCCCGCTATCAAAAGATATAGCATC